GGGAAGAGACTGGACAAAAATCGTGCACCTATGGATGAGGACAGTGGGTGGGGAGTGAGGGCGGAGGGTGGGGTGGGAACTGGAAGGAAGGGAGTTATGAGGGGGAAAAAAGAGGAACAAATGTAATAATCTGAACAATAAAGATTTAATAAAAAACAAAACAAAAAAAACCCAAAAACAAACAAACAAACAAACAAAAAAACCACTGACTCTCAAAAGTAGCCTAAAGTCTGGGAGTAAACCCGATGCCTGGCTTCTAACCCCAGAGATTCTAACTTAATTGACCTGAGATAAAATTCGATTTTAATTCTCTATGGTGAGTATTTCCACCTACAAAATGAATAGAATGGCATCTAGCTATCTCATAGTGGTAGGAATATAGATGAGTTATATGGAGGTTATACTGTACCTGACTCATAAGAGGTTCAGTAAACTAAACCAACGTTTGTGTTTTTTCTTCCAAAATCCCAGGTGGCAGCAGTGGGCTTTGTCTCCTGAAAATGCCCTCTTTCTTTAATTGGCATTCTTACTCTCCTGAGTGCTCAGCAGCCTTTTGAAGGAAAAAGACGGCTCTCCATTCACATTTTCATATTGTTGTAAAGAGTTTTTATTCCTTTTTCACGGGTGGGGTGCTTATTTGCTATTTTTCCCTAGAATGAAGCCCCTGTTGAAAGAGATTTTCTTTGATTATTCATTTAAGAAATAGTCATTGAAGGGCGATCTGTTTTGCCCCAGGAGATTGCTAGGCTATGAGGACTCAGTGCTGAATAAGATAGAGTTCCTGCCTTTGAGGAGTTTGGATGTTGGAGGGACACTACAGCGAGAACCAGGGCTGGACAGCCCTGTTATGCACATAAGGATGGAACACATATGGAGGAAGGCAGAAAGGAATTTGGAGAGGCCAGAAGAGGCAAGAAGACGTCTTCTCTCTGAGATCAGAGCAATGATAGGAGTTTACCAGGCAAAAAAAGGAAAACAAGGACAAAGAGTATCTGCCAACATCTGGTGGCAAGACAGAACAGAAGGTTTGAGGAATTGGGAGAAGTTCCATGTGATCTGAGCAGAGAGCACCAGGAGGGGAGAGGGAGCATGAAGCTAGCGAGAAAGGCAGGGTCTAGATGGAGAGGGAGCTGGTTCAGATACCTGAGATTTCAAGAAGGTTGCATTTGTAGTGATTGGAGCAAGGAATGTTGGAAGGCGGATGTTCACACACCAGGACTTGAATCCCAGCTCTGCCACCCACTGACTGTGATGTTGGCCATGCTACTCAGTGTCTCTGAGTGTTAATGTCATTGCTGAGGGGGGATAATAATGTCTACCTCATAGTAGGTTGTTCTGAGAATTAAATGAGTGAGTACATGAAAAGCTGGGCAAACGATTACTATCGAGCCCAAGGACAATGGAGAGTTGTTATTGCTGTTAGGAGCTGGGATTTGTGAGGAAAAAGACAAGAGGCAAAGATGTGAGTTAGGAGGTAATGAGAGTAGTGCAAGTGAGATGATTCTGGCTGGGACTAGACAATTGGGTGAATGGACAGATGCGGATTGGATGGGAAATAGGAAAGAAGGGTCATGTGAAACTCACTTTGAGTGACTTTGAGATTGAGAAAGCAGGGATGGTAAGAATTTTGGGGTGTCGTGAGGTCAATGTTGTGCATGCTGAGATTGTATCTATCAGGTATCGGTTGTGGAGTACAGGAAGCTTAGCGGGAAGGCATTTATTAGAGGGTATTACAGGCTTACAGAATTGTCTGGAGGGCTGAGGAAACAGTCCAGCTTGAGCTTGCAGGAGCAACCTCTACCCCCTCTCCTAGGAACTGCGCTGCTGGGGTAGCTGCTATCTAATCGATAATCTTGCAACCAGGAAGCTGCCCCCTTCGGGAGCCACCACACTGCTGTTTCGAACAGGAAACCATGACAATCAGGAAGCTGCTACTGCTGCCAGTTCTAGAACCACTGGGAATCTGTAACAGACTATATCAGCAGAATGGATGCTCCTCTCTCTCCACCCAGATGTGCCCCACCTGCTAAGCCAGTATCTGAACGCGGGGACCTCTGCAAAAGCAGCTGCAGAGAAGCCAAGTGCCTCCAGAGCTGGGCTTGCGGTGCAGGGGACAAGCATAGCACAATCCGGTCCACCTCAGATGAAGCTATTCTAGAGCAGCGGTCGCCAACCTTTTGGACCTCATGGACCACCAATGGTCCGTGGACCACCATTGGCAACCACTGTCCCAGAAGTTAGTTTTCCAACTTCTGGAGCAGAGAAGGTCACACTAGAACGGTGTTTTGTAAATTGTGAGTTGTGACTCACGAAAGCATCGTCAGATCAATTCAGGAGGTCACAAGACTTTTTTTCTTAGTCATGAGTAGTAAAGGCAACTATTACTTAATGTAATGAAACTTCTGTCTGAGGTGTGTGTGTGTGTGTATCCTTATTTGCAAAGTGGAACATTCTTCCCTCTGGATCATGATAAAAAACCAAACCCTCAAAAGTCACTGCACTGGACGTGCGGGGTCTCAGAGAGAACTAATGGGCAGACCCCAGAGTCTACTGAATATGTAGGGTTGAGTTTTAAGAGAAAATCAAAGCTGGGTATCTAGATTATATCATCACTGGCAAGAAGCCCTGGGAGTTAAGTGACCCAGGGAGATGGTGTGGAGTGTTAAGGGAAGGAGGTCTGAAACAGACCCCAGGGAGCGCAAGCATTTCATCTCGGGGCAGGAATTTTCTCTGGGGGTGTGCTGGTCCTGCTTGCACTCTGGCAGTTTTCACATGTTCTCCAGAAAGAGAGCTGGATCCGGGGAAGCCTCAGAGCGCTGGAAAGGTGTGTTCCAAACACACGTGAACTAGGGCTGATTTGGCTGCTGCCTGGCACAGCCATGGCACACAACACACTGGATCATAAACCAGCACCTGGCATGGGTCCAGGCACCATACTGGCACCGTGACATGTATGGAATGGATGCGCAGAGCAGAGAAGTTCTCAGGAAAGCTGGAAAGAGTTCCTCAGATTCCAACATTCAGGAGCTGGTCCAGAGGGGGCTAATCTCACCAGCCAAGGTTGACTCAGTAGCTCTGGGCTACTGCAGCAGCCTCCTGGTCTGTGATCCCAGGTTTCCTGCTTTCACTTACCCACAGTCCACCGTGGTCTGAAATACTAAATGGGAAGTTCCAGAAATGAGCAATTCATAAATGTTAAAGAGCAGGCTGTTCTGAGGAGTGTGATGAAATCTCATACTGTCCAGCTCCATCCCAACCGGGACATGACTCATCCCTTTGTCCCCCGAAGCCACACTCTACATGCTCCCTGCCGTTAGTCACTCAGTAGCTGTCTTGGTGATCAGATCGACTGTTGCAGTATCACAGTGCTTGTGCTCAAGTCACCCTTATTTCACTTCACAGTGGCCCCTAAGCACAAGAACAGTGATGCTGGCAATTGAGATATTCCAAAGAGAAGCCAGAAAGTGCTTTTTTTTTTTTTAAGAAAAAGAATGAAAAGTTAAGTATGTATATGAAAAAACAAAACAAAACGCAGTACATATAGGGTTTGGTATGCCATGGTTTCAGGCATTTACTGGGGGTCTTGGAACGTATTTCTTGTGGATAAAGGAGGAACCACTCTATTTATCATTTTTAAAGAGTATTTTGTTGCATAGAAAATTGGCAATAAGGGGTGGGAGCTGTTCAGGACGGTGGACTTTATTGCAGCTAACTCAGGAGACAAACTGAATGTGCATCCATAGAAAAATGGGCAAACTGTGTATAGTTAAACAAGGAAATACCAGTAGGTGGTAATTAAATGAATGAGCTCGATCTACATGTATCAATCTGCATGAATCTCAAAAACCTAAGGTTATGTGAAAAAAACTCAAGCACAAAATGTTATATAAAGTATGATATTGTTTATTGAAATGTTAAAATCCACACAAAACTCTCTTATATAGTCTAATGGGAGAACAAGTATAAATTTATGTAAGCGGAGGAGACACACAAACTTCAGGCAAGGGCTGTTCTCTGGGGAGTGTGTAGGAACGTGGATGGAGGGTTGAGATTTTAGCTCTATATGGATTATTTTCTTTTTAAACAGAAGCAGAGACATATAGTAACATATTAATAGTTATTAAATTAGCTGGTGAGGCATGGGAAAAATACTATTTTCTGTTCTTTCTATAATTAAAAAATATTTACAAATGAATATACATTTTATAATGCCCAGAGCAAGAATCAGGCTTCCTCCCCTGACCTCTGATTAAGCAGATGACCTTTAAAGCAATTAGGGAGAAGTACACACACACACATACAACATGTATATATAATACACATAAATGTATAATACACACATGTGCACACATGTATATACACATATGTGTGTACACACATAGTATACACACATATGCATATACACATATGTATAACTTCAAATTTAAACAAACTTTTTTTTATTGGCTTACATATTTCTTCAGTTTCTGAGAAAGAACTTTATATCATGGGACTCTAACCTTTTTCTGGATTTGGCCACTTATTGAATCTGGAGACCATCTGTGTCTCACATTAGCATGATCATCCAGCAGTGACTGGAGTGGCAGAGGCAGAACAGGGGACAGCCCTGAACACTGGCTGCTCCAATGCAGGGCTCCAAAGCTGTGACCTGAGGAATTACAGAAAGGCTGCCCAGCTGGGTGTGGCTCAGTGTTTGAGCATAGACCCAGGAACCAGGAGGTCACTGGTTCAATTCCCAGTCAGGGCATATGCCTGGGTTGTGGCTCCATCCCCAGTAGGGGGCATGCAGGAGGCAGCCGATCAATTATTCTCTCTCATCATTGATGTTTCTATCTCTCTCTCCCTCTCCCTTCCTCTCTGAGACATATATAATTTTTTTTTTAAAGAAAGGCTGTGGAGGGGACCAATAAAGCCCAATGGGAAATAGTGGAGACAGGAGGCTGGACTCCATTCCTGGCTCTGCTACTAATCATGTGTAAGGACTTGACAAGCCCCTGCCTTTCACTGGACTTCCTTTCAAACGTTGGCTCTGCTTATCTCTCAGGATCTTTCCAGAGATGATACAAATGACTAGTGTATCTTCTTGACTGAAAGGCTCTTGCCTTGTGTCAGAATAATCAGTGGTATGAATTTTCCCGAGGGCAGGAATACAGTTAGTCTTCATTGACTTGTTACTTTTTTATCAACTCATCCTCCTCTACAAGTTTTACAAGTATAGTGTGTGTGTGTGTGTGTGTGTGTGTTTGTATGTATGTATGTATGTATGTATTGGGCAGTTGAGTTTTTACCAAAGAGATATATGTTTCAGGTAGCCTGAATTCCCAGTTACAAAAATCATTTATTTTATTTGCATAGATTGTGTCATTTGCTCATAATATTCCCAGGGGGCTGGTTAACCCTCAGAGAGTAACAGAATTTAGTTTTGAACTTCTTAGGTTGTCCACCCCCTACATATCAGGTGAATTACTAAAGATTATTCTCTTATTATTTTGTCTTGCTACAAGATTCCTTTTAAGCTGTGCTCCCTATGTCTTCAGCTGTTGGCTTTCAGAGTATTGCTTGATAGAGACTAATATTGAGAATCACTCACAATGTCAAAGTGAGGCACCTCTGCTCAGAGGATGGTTGGTGAAAAGTGCAAATGAAACCTTTCTCGAGTTGGAATATGAAACAGTAAAAAATTGCTTCGTTGACATTTGCTTAGGTTGCAGATACCTTTCCAGGAATGCATGAATGACTTGGTTTAAAGCAAGATTCATTTGTCTTACAGAGTTAGGGTAGAACTCAAATGCCCACAGGCCACCTTATTCTCTAGCTTTTGGCCCTCAAAACCTGTCTGTGTTATTATCACGTATCTCTTGTCTTGCTGAGTGCAACACCTCTTCCAATGCGCCCTGCTCCCCAAGAATCTACTCACAGAAGCATTTAAGAGAAATGTAGACTTTTACTGAGTATTTCACTGACCTAGGAGGAGGCAACAGAGCATGCTGTTCAGCAAAGGACTTAAAATTTCCCTTTAGTCTTTTCTGTTCTCCCAAGTCCTTCTCATCCATACCACCCCTGCTGATTTTTTCCCCTTCTTTTAGAACTTTTCTAAACTTTGACAAACTTTCCTGAATTTTGACACCTTTCTTTTCTCTCCTCCTTCTTGAGAAACATGCAAATTTTGTTTCATTCTTTTGTGTAGCAGTTAAGAGCCCCTTTTCTTTCTGAGGAATAACCTCAGCAGCTTACACTTTAAGTCCAGTGGAACTTTCAAACAATAAGATGCTGCTTCAGAGATGATGGACAGTTGTAAGGATTGATGGAGCTAGAGAATCTCCTGGTTATCCAAATCAGGAGACGAGGTTGTCATTGTGCAGAGAAGTTCTTTACAACCATAGATTGTGTCATTTGCTCATAATATTCAACCATTTCCAAGGTTGTCATTGTCTGTCAACAACTTTGTGGGGCCTTAAAAGCTCTCACAGAAATGATTTTCTGAGAGGTGTTTGAAGCAGGGAGCAGGATGAGATCATGTGGGAGATGGCAGCAGCTATGCCCTGACCAAATGATTGCATCTCCTGCCCATTGCACTATGATTTGAGAGTGTGCTGAAGGCATAGCACTTTTCTGACAGGAAACAGAAACTCTCTGTTGGTGAGTTCTTGTCCATCTTAACTGGAATGGAGTCAAGCCTGGTCAGATGGTTTCCCAAATATCCACAAGGCCTCTTCGGTTCTGGGTGGTCAGTTTGGCAATCCTTTCTTATGCATTTTAGGTCCTACAATTCACACCATTTGGCAGGTGCCCTGAATTTTGTCTCCAAATTCTGACTCTGCTGAGGTGGTGTGCAGCCAGATGCTGCCAGTACCATTGGTTTCACATTGGTGGGGGGGCCTTCCCTTTGGTTGGGGGCTTCCAGAACGCTGTCTGGAATCTTAGTTCCCAGGTCTGTGATGAGAGAGGCTGGTCTTCTGAGATGGAGGAGACTTTGGAGAGATTCGAATCCAGCCCCTTCATTTTTCAGACGTGGATCCTGAGTTCCAAGGAGGGGAAAGGAATAGGTCCAGGTCATACAGTGAGTTAGTGGTTGGAACATACATCCATCCCTTCTGATTCCCTTTGGGGGCTCTGTCCACCACACGACATTCCTTCCTTGCCTTCTCTCTGAAAGACACTTCACTCAAAACTCTCTTTTTAACCCTGGAGCTGTATCTTTCCAACAGACAGAAGGAGAAGCATACTATGTAATACCCTTTGTGGTTTCAGTCTTGGTCTAGTTTCCTTTTTGCCCAAGTGTTTGGATGGATGAGGTGCTGTATGGTAGAGGCCAGGAGAAAGAGTTCAGTCTGAACTGTATAAGAAGATGGATAGTACATTCTCAAGAGGAAAGGTGTTTGTATCCACATACTGGAACTTATCCACCTTGACCGAGATGGTGGTATTGACCTGGAGGTGCTCCAGCAGGAACTGAGAGAGGTTCTGGTATATGTTTTTGGTTTGTACTCCAGACTCGCACACTGTCACCAAAGTCTGCCTTTTGACATCTTGGTTGATGAGAAGTTCCAATTTTAGGTCGACAGAATGTTCTGGGCATTCCACCAGAAACTGCAGTTGGCAAATAATGAAGTACCAACCTGGGAACTGGATCACCAGGTTCCCATCCTGATATCTGAGTCCATGGACAATGCCATCTTGGTTCCAAGACAACTTGGTTTTGTTTATGTGCTTTGACACTGGAAAGAGAAGGAAAAACAAAATCACAATTATTGGGCAGAATGCAGACCAGAAAATTTGAAGCCTTTATTCAAAGTTCCCCCTTCAAGACTCCTTCCTGTCTTCTATATTATCTGCTGTCCCAACTATCCAGAATATCTCCTGTGTTACTCTTTCTAGGTGCTGCTTAATATTTAAGGCACAGCTACAAAACTGCCCCTCTTCCCTTTTTCCAATGCCAAAGTTGAGGGTCTGAACCTCCTATAGAATTGTTTTCCACTTATTACATTACTAGAGGCCCGATGCACAAAATTCGTGCAAGAGGCTCAGCCCTCACAGCCTGGCTACTTCAGCCGGCCCTCGCAGCCCCTTGCAGCCTTGACCAGCCCTTGCAGCCCCAGCTTCATCCAAAAGGTCATCCAGACAGTTGTCCGGATGGTTGTTCTGCTGTTCAGTCTAATTAGCATATTAGCTCTTTATTATATAGGATTCTGTTATCATAATTACTAGAGGCCCGGTGCATGAAAATTCATGCACTGGAGGAGGGGTCCTTCAGCCGGCCTGCCCCCTTCCACAGTCCAGGAGCCCTCAGGGGCGGGAGGCGACCTGGTGATCAGGGGAAGGTGACACCCCATCATACCTCTGCTGCTGCCACTGCTGGCAGTGCAAGCCTTAGCCGGCCCTGGTTACCTAAGCCACAGGCGGCTCTGGGCAGCTGGGCAGCTGCCATCTGAGGCTTGCCTGTGCCTCAGGCTGGCCCTGGGCGGCTGGAGGGCTGAGGGGACTGGGGGACTCCGGAGGCAAGTGCGAAGAGTGCTGGGCCTGCCTAGGGGTGGGCCCAGCCTTGCCACACCTGCCTGGGGTTGGGCCCGGCCTTGCTGCGCACCTGCTGCCCCAGCGGGGCTGAGGGGACTGGGCCCTGCCATCCTGTGGCTGTGGGTGCCGCCATCTTTGAGGGTGGGGCAGTCAATTAGCATATTTTCTCTTTATTGGCTGTGGGCGTGCCATCTTTGCAACAGCGTGAGGGTCAATGAACATATTCCCTCTTTATTAGATAGGATTATCTTTGCCTTTTCAGACTATAACCTCCTGGGCTGTATTCCCCACAAGTTCTGTACTATCATGTTCATTTTTAAAAAATATATTTTTATTGATTTCAGAGAGGAAGGGAGAGGGAGAGAGAGAAACATCAATGATGAGAGAGAATCATTGATTGGCTGCCCCCACTGGGGACCAAGCCTGCAACCCAGGCATGTGCCCTTGACCAGAATCAAACCTGGGACCCTTTAGTCCATAGGCTGACGCTCTATTCACTGAGCCAAACCAGCCAGGGCTCATGTTCATTTTTTCAATCAATCAATAAATGTTTGATCAATGGGAGGACTACTATTTGGTGGGCATTGCACAAAATATCAGAGATAGGACATTTATTTGTGTTCAGTTAGTAACCAGTTTAGGCATTAAGATGTCCAGGAGAATCTTAGTCTATTTGCTTTCATATTAAGATGTATCCTTTAGCCATTCATTGTCTAAATTTTTGAATGTCTTCCTCTCTTTGAAAGGGCAGCCAAACATGACTGTGTAGACCCTTTACACGTAGATACTTTAAGGGGCTCTTCCCAGCTGGGTTTGTAGAAAAGCAGAGCATTAGCAGATCCTCTAAGCCAGCGGTTCTCAACCTGTGGGTCGCCAACCTGTGGGTCGCGACCCTTTTGGGGGTTGAACGACCCTTTCACAGGGGTCGCCTAAGACCATCAGAAAACGCATATATAATTACATATTGTTTTTGTGATTAATCACTATGCTTTAATTATGTTCAATTTGTAACAATGAAAATACATCCTGCATATCAGATATTTACATTACGATTCATAACAGTAGCAAAATTACAGTTATGAAGTAGCAACGAAAATAATTTTATGGTTGGGGGTCACCACAACATGAGGAACTGTATTAAAGGGTTGCGGCATTAGGAAGGTTGAGAACCACTGCTCTAAGCCAACATGTTCATGTCAGAAGCCAAGGCTCTCTGAGCCCTAACAAGTGAACATCAGCCCTGATCGGTCAGGGTGCCTTTCAGAGCTGGGAAGCTGGTGTGTTCGTTTTAATTGCCTCTATGTCTTCTTCCCTTTAAACCTCATTGCAATTCAATTGAAAAGTGCAAACTAATTTAACTGCAAAATTGAATTTCTAAAATGAGCAGAAGGGCTATTCAGAGAATCCTGGATATCTTCTCCAGATCTCATTTTTCCCAGTGTAAATAGCTCTCATTATTTCATTTAGAAGGGGCCTCTTACCTTGCTGCAATATGCAAATAGGCCCTGTGCCGACATGTTCATTAAGCTGTCAATCTGGGGACAGGGCAGTTTTGTGGTTCCCTTGGGAATAACTTGATAGAGGCAGAGCTTAAGAGCCTGCTTTCCTTGTATGAGGAAAAGCACTATGCATGTGGCCTGCAACTTGTAGGTGGCAGAATAGAAGTGGTGGAGTTGGGGCCCAGATGCCTTCAGGGGCCAGGTAGGCAAAGGGAAGGAGGGAATGGGGCTGAGGAAAGATGAGTCTTGTAGTTTTAGAGTAACTCTCTTCTCTTTCCCCCTAAGGAATTTTAATTCAAATGATTAAAAAACAAAAGCTTACTGGCTAAGCAGAATACATCTGCAGGTCACATTTGGCCTTGGGCCTCTACTTATGGCCTCTGGCTTAGAAGTTTCTGGAAGACCACAGGAAGTGGCTCTCGGTGGTTGGGGTTCAGTGGCTTGGTTACTGACCTTGGAGGTAGGCCCATGACTTCTTGAACGGAGCCCTCTGCAGGATACATAAGATGTCCTCTGAGCAGTTTCCTAAAAACAAGAGCACATGTTGACTGTCTTCCTCTGCTCTGGGACCTGGAGATACCAGACCTTTTTCCGTGACCCTTTGATGGAGACAGTTACCATTCAGTTTCCATCTGGGGGCAAAGGAGATCTATCTGTGTGTTTCTCATTTTGCCATCAGGTACCTTAGATTTCAAAAAGTTGATTGCTTCCACTTGGGCTTTTACAAAAGACTGGAAGTTGGGGGGACAAAAACATATATGACCTGGGTTCCTATGTGTACCAGGTGCCATTCCTGTCCGATTACTTATCTTACCTCACTTCATCTTTGGGGAAATTCCATAAGAGAGGTATCATTAAGTCCCTTGGACAGAGAGAAAAAGCCTGGGGACCAGACAGATGAAGTACCTTGTCCCAGGCCACTCAGCCAGTGGGGGCAGTCAGGACAATATATGATGGAAATTGTTGCTGTCCTTCCCGTAAGAGGGCACCAAACACTGGGTGGGGTACCTGTACGTATTTCAGCTCATGTGATTCTCAGAATAACTCTGCAAGGTTAATTCTGATGCTTAGACACATGGTCAGTGGTGCAAGTCAAGCAGGTTGGTGGAAATGCTGAGATTCACCTCCAAGTCTACACGGTTCCAGAAGCTAGGCTTCCTCCTTGAGGCTGTTTTGCTAGACAGTGGGAATAAACACACACTTGTGCTTAATTTTGAGAGGATATAGGATCAAGATAAACACATCCTTGTGCTCAGTTTTAAGAGGATATAGGATCAAAGTGTTCTAAGCAGGGAGCCTTCTATCATGAGCTCCCTTGGCAGGTGGAAAAAGACAATGTTTATGTCATTATGGTATTTAAGATATAAAAATATTTTAAATATATACATTGGTGATGGTGGCTTAGCTTCTTCTTATTATAGTAACTCTTTTGTATGCTAAGAACCAAGTTACACATTTCCTGCAGTGCCTCATGAATTCAACTCACTCTGGACAAATTCCCTTTTGTCTTTGCGCCTGGTTTTCCCGGCTGTAAAACTGGTAGGTCTATAACCAGACACTGACATCTTTTGGATGATATCACAAATGACTATTCATTCCAGCCATCAGACACCAGGCAGCCAGGAGCCAATTCAATTGAAGCCACCTCAGTTATGAATTTGCTTACTGGTCTCTGAGCAGTACTCAGACTCACAGTCTTCCTCACCGCCCTCTCCTCCCAGGCCCAAGAAAAATCTCTCCTGGTTCTTCACAGCACTGGACTTGGAAAGGTTGAATGTTAAGTGGAGAGTTCCCTCTGCTGTCTGAACAAGTTTGCTGCTAGAGGCCCCTTCCGCAGGAGCAGAGGGTGGGTTCATCCTTGTCTGTCCTCAACCCTTAAAGAGGCTCTGCAGGATCAGGGCCATGCTCCTCCACGTGGCATCCATGCTCTCTGGGTTCTCGTCCCTCATCTTCTGTCCTAATTAATAATAATAGTAGCAATAGTAGTGCTAGTAATGATAATAATAGCTCATATTTGTCTGACCCTTCCCTCTGCCTGCCTATCTTCCTCCATTGGACTGTAAAGAGACTACTGTTCATACATTCCCCACTGCCCAGCCCAGAAGATGCTCCACAAATGTTTGTTGAATTGAATCATCCAGTTCTTCTCTCTTCCATCTTTCTGTGAAAGTCAGCTAAGTGTTCAAGGCATGAGCGAGGTGAATGGGATGCTTGGCTTGCTTTTCCCCTCGGGGTTGAGATAACACCTGGGTTCATTCTCCCACTAGTCCTGCAGGTTCTGTTAGATTACATGAGAGGATAAGACTCGTGTCGTGGACTGAGGCCAACATATCCCAGCAAGGACAGGCTCTGCTCATAGGCCAGAGGTCCCCCCCAGCATGCCATCTCAGGTGAGCTTCTATAGGCAGATGACTACAGAAGTACAAGCCTGGGCTTGCCTCTCACACATGCAACTGCTTTTGTTCTTTCCCCTTTGCTCTTTGCATGTTTGGTGGGTTGACCTCAGTTGTAATTCTGAGAAACCCAAGGATGGAAAAACACACATCTTATTTTGAAACATTTGCATTTCCTGAAGTCAAATGGCATGGCGTATTTTAATTTTTCTTGAACCTTTTAGATGGTTTCAAGAGAAAGGAAAAACATGGGCAGCCCCCCATGACATGGCTAAGGAAAAGGGACCCAGGATGCTGGAGGAGTTTTAAATGGAATGGGTGGGGTGGCTGAACCTGGAGAGGAGCCCAGAGGGGCCTTTGCCACCTGACAAGGAGGCTGTTAGCAGGAAGATGGTGCAGCCTGCTCTGTGGAGCCCACACACTGAGGCTCCAAGTGCACTCAGCTAATGGCCAACGCTGCTCTTATCCCCAGTTCTCAGGCGAGGCGATGGGAGGACCTCATCTGAGGACACAAAAACCACACTGGAAGTCGCAGTACTGGCACCTCAAATATCTGACCAGTTGGTGCCAGTCAAAGAGGCATTGGGTGGCTTTTCAGAGTTGTAGGGTGCTTGCCAAGAGCTGGGTGAACTTTATATGTGGCTCATGTCTCCTCATCACCCTGGAACACCATGATCTGACTTTCTTTTTTGGTTATGAAGATGAGGAGTGACTTATGAATAGCTAGTGTTACATATAGTTGGAATCCTATCATGTCCCTGGAATCTGGGATGCTGGGAGCATAGGGAGCAACACACTCCCTGTTTCATTCATTTCCCAGATGAATGTCATGTCTGGGGGTGGGGGTCAGTTTGAAGAGCTGAAGACTTACATGGGGAAAATGAGAACCTTCTGTAAGTCATGGTTGAGTTGGGGGCCTGGGAGTTTCCCCTCTCTGGGCTCTTGTGTCCCTATCTAGATGAAGAGCAGTGTGGATTTGATGATCTAGAAAGGCCCATCTAGCCTGTTCTAGTAGGCTGTGTAGACTCACTGTATACTGCCAGGCCTGTTACGGGGGGAAAGTTAGTCCCAGCCCCAGCTGTCTGCCTTTGTGGGCATGTTGCTTTATCCCAGCTAAGAGACTGTCTTCACATATTCAGATTTCCAGACACATACCATGGTAGAACAGAACATTTTAGCTCTGGGATAATCAAGGTTATAGTCTGGTTCCTTAGGATTTGCATGGTTCATAGAAATGGAAATTCCCTGAGAAGTCACCGGGGCCAGGCATGGTAGCCACATAATATATGTGCTCCTCTATGTTATCCCCACAGCATGCTTGTCCTAGGTCACCCTGTGAGTTAGTGACAGGGGCAGGACCAGAGTCCAGGGCTCCTTACTCCTTATGTGGGGCATTCCATCCTTCAAACAACTCAAGTACTCTGAATTCTTCTGAGGAGCAAGGCCTTCCAATTGGAAAGATTTGTAAGCTCTTTTCCCAAGCTTTGGACTCCTCTGGAAGGATCATGAAACTTTCTTAGGCTTTTTTTGAAAGCCCTAAGAGTAATATGTGGCAATGAAACCCTCCTAGCTAGCTGCACAGAAGAGAGGTGTTGCTTAAGGTAGTTGAAAGGATCATGTTCTAGACGTCAGAATAGTGATAATCTGAAGACTGGACCCCACCTTGAGATCTTATAAGGTTAGGCCTGAAAGTGCCATTAGATGCCAAGTTAACCATGATCCTAGTCCTATGAGTGGGGAGACTGAACCCAAAGGGGCTGAAAGTGTGGCCAAGACCCCGCAGTAGGTCAGGAGCAGTGGGCTCAGAACACTCCTAGTCTAAGGCTCTGTTCCTATTGTTTGGTCTTCCTATGGAGCAGAGAAGAAGTGGGTTTGCAGCCACCATAAACCCTGGATGGAAAACAGGACAGCTGGAGGTGCTAGGCAAACAAATCTCTGGGCTCCCCCTTGTGGGAGAATACCAGAAAGTGACTCCAGGCCCTTGTGCCGAACCCTGCCAAGTCATCGGTCAGGGGCAGTCAGGCTAACAGTAAGATGCAACAATGCCCAGGGTGGCAAAACAAGCCACACTAACCACTTCAGCCAGATGGTATGTATCTGAGTGCCAGGCACCATACAGGTTGATATCGGGATGAGACAGACACAGTGCATCTCAAAACAAGCCCCTGGGTTCTGGTCAAGGCTTTTAGCTGCCACTGCCTCTTACTGACCCTCAGTGACTGCATCTATAACAGTGGGGATAACAGTCAACCCAAATGTATGGATGTAGTGATGATGCAATGAGATTATGGATGTCCAGTGGGCAATGCAGAATATGACATAGAGGAGACAGCCAGCAAGTGGTAGTCCCTTCCTCCCAGACTCCTCTTTTCCTAACAATACCACTTAGCAGAGCAATCTGGCTGATGAAATGCTCATTAAAACACAGCTCATCACACATCAGGTAAAACATGGCATTACCTGATGGATCAGAGTGTCTCAATTACGTATATAAGTGTTTGAGGCCATCTGACACTTCCGGAAAAGTGTGCAGAATCCTCCTTCCATCTGTTGAAAATATTTAATCCTCCCAGGAAGGAGAGGAGTTATTCTGATGCCTCTGCATCTACCTTGTCCTGGCTTCTATTCCATCCGCCTGGGAGCATAGCCAGGAGAGTCCCAACAGTGACATCTAGGGGAGAGTCTCTCCAGTATCGGTAGGAGTTGGAATCAAAGTTCATCCTCAACTGGCTTTAACTTAACCGCTTTCTTGATGCCCCCAGGCCAACTAGTGATGGAGAAACTCTATGACAGGTGACCTTGGACTTACAAACAGCAGTTTTAGGGACTACCCACGCTGGCATGCTCACTGTTAAACACAAAAAAAGTGAACAGTAGTACAAACTGAGATCAAGGTGCAACTCAGTTGAATCCCTTGACGGTTCCTTAGGATGTTGGGGCTTTTCAATCCTGACCTGTTGCAGTATGTAAGATAAACCTGTCTGACCCTGTGGATATTTTCTTGAAATTCGCTTCTACTAAATGCAGGTTGAATGGATATTATTGGGGGCATTTAAGAAGCACCTTTAAAGTCTACAAGCTAAAAGGCAAAGTAAATCTGGAGTCTTGCAGTGCGATCGGCTAACCTTTTAA